AGAAAAGGCACAGTGAAACTATGTTATGGTGGTGGGAAAAATTACTGAAGCTGAGATGCCAGATCAGGACCAATAACATTGAAGATTCTTTGGATTTTATCAAGAATCTCTAAATATATAGCAGAAGCATCAGACCATATGTGGAGAGCAATATTCAAAGCATGGATGAATAGTAGACCTATAAATATGTAAGAAAGATTATTATGAGAAAAATTGTCTATCATGACAGCAGACCTAGTAATTAAAATTCTATTATAATTATTTTAAAAGCAATTAAATTCTTAAAAGAAAAAGAATATTTCACACCAATAGTGGTAGACTTTTAATAAATGAAACACATGCACACACAAATAAGCAAAATTTAAGTACTCCTTTTTAAATTGGTGAATAAGATCCAAATGAAGGTTGAAGGATTTATATTTAGACTAGCAGTAGCGCCCAGCGTTGCCTGGCGATGTAACAGTAAGAGATAGATCAAGTTTCGATCATTATAAAGACTGAAAATAAAATTGACAAAGATTATTGGTTTTGTCGAACAATCACGTGGTAAAGATAACCACTCAGTTGTGGAGCAAGCTGAGTGAAGCACTAATTCAACATAGAGACAGAATTTATGGTGCAATGGAGCATCTCATTATGCTTGGGATAGGATTGGCTGCTGGTACCTTTTGGAAGTATTACTATATAAATAAGCATGATTTCTAGTTTGCAGGATATTTATTAAGTTACAACCTGCTTTATTTTTGTCTGCCAGCAACTTTTATTTATTTTTAAAGTGGCCTTTGGGGAGGGGATGAGTTCCTTTTACCCGGAAAGTCTGGACAATGGTGAATAAGACCAAAGGGTCTCAGGGCACTAGGTCTTGGAACTGGAATTGTTGGTGTATCAGTTTTCTGAAAGTATGGATTTCGTATATTTACCTGACTCAAATAAATTGGGAGGGTTTCAATGACCTGACCTGTTGTGTCCCATCGGCCGGGTTGTTGGTCTTTATTTGTCCTTTTTTTTTGAAGGGGTTTAACGTGTGCTGTTCTGTTGTAGCTCTAAGAAATTGTCTTATAGAGTGTTGGGTGGGATGGTATGTAGTCATTATAAAGTAGTTGAGCAGGGGATAGCCCAATGTTTTGAATGGGCGTATTCCTGTATTGGAGGATGGCTCTTGCTGCACGGTTATTATCCAAAAAATTCTCTTGGCTGTTTTGAAAAGCTCTGCTCGACCATTGGATTTGGGTAACCAGCAATGATAACCTTTGTTTAAAGTCTTGCAAAAATTGCTTGAATGGAAGAGATGTGAAGGGTGGCCCACCATCACTGCTGAGTTCCTCAAGGTTTGAAATATGTCTGGCAAATAGAAATAATCCTTGAGGCATTAGCTTCTCCGTGGCTCAAGTGATATAATTCAGCCAAAAGCATGCTAAGTAACCATGGTTTCCAACATGGAAGATGTCCATGACGATTTGCTGAAATGGCCAATCAGGAGATGGTGTCAAATTGATTGGCTCTTTTGGTTTCGGGGCAATTTTTGAGCAGAACGTACAACCTGCTCTAATAAGATTCATCCCGGCCAATAAACAGATTCAAGGCACGTGCCTTCATGCCAACTTCGCCTTGATGTGCAGAATGTAGGCTATGTAATATTTTTGCGTTGTGAGGTGGGGATAACAATTCTTTGATCTAAAGCACTAGACTGGCCATTTCAGGTGCAGGAGGATCTTGGCGTTCTTTGGAAATTACTTCTATTAATTTTTTTGTATTGCGGGTCGCTGCGCCCCGCCGTACGGATAACGTCTGCTGAGATGAAGGTTGTCATTTGCACCTAATGTTGCTAATAAGGTTTTTGATTTGACCCAGTCATCCATGTTGTCAGACTCTATGATGTCTGATTGAGAGGGTTCAGCAGTGAATACATTTAGTGCCTGTGAGATGTCTGCTGGGGTTACGAGAGACAGCATCGGAGGCTCTGTGCCATTTCCCAAGGGCAGTGCTGAATGGTGAATCTGTAATTAACCTGAATAATCGGGGGTTTTTTGATTTTACTAAGGTCTCTATCTCCGAATAATCCTTTTAGTGGTTCATGATCTGTAACCACTATGAGATTCGGCAACCCATTACAAAAAACATTTTCTAATGAATTGCTGCTGCAACCGCCTTCAATAGGTGCATATCTGTTTCAGCATCAATGCAGAATCTGCTACCAGCAAATATCAGGCGCCAACCTTCAGGGCAGCAAATGGGGCTTTGTCAGTGGTGCAAGCAATGCAGAAGTAGGGAAGCCCATTCGTCTTTGCTCCAATCTGGGGCAAGGCAGGTTAAAATTTTAAAACTGCTGGAATGCATCCTCCAGGCTTTTTTTATTCCATGTAAAGTGTGAGTCTCGTTTACGAGATCACGAAATGGAAGCATGACTGGGCTTAGTGAATATACTAGCGACTTGTGTTGACCAGCCCAAACCATGATCTGGCATCGGTGAGTGTTTTGGTATTGGAAGCTCAAAATGCCTCCAGCATGGATTTAGAAGGGGTTACACCAGAAGATGTTATTTGAGGCCCCAAACTGCACCGTGTCTTGCACAAAATTGGAATTTTTCTCTATTTAATGCGTTTTTGCACAATGGAGGAGAAAAAATTGAAAAAAGGCTCCCGATGTCAGAGTCATAGAGTAGGGTATTATGGGGAACTTCATCATATCTTTAGGCATCGCCAGAATCCTTGTGGCATTCTCAGGTACATGAACCTTCCCCATTCTGTGATGAAGGTGGTTGGGACTCTTTATCTAAGGGGATGGAATGATATCCATCAACAGCAAAAAAGGTGGCATTTTAGCTTGGTGACCCTGTATGGTGTGTTTCCCCGTTTGCACTGTGAATAGTGGTGTTTAGTCTATGGTTCTTCGTGGTTTGCCAAATTACCATAGTGCTACACCAATCAGCGGGCAATGTTATGTACCCTTTCACATCTTCCCAAAGGGCCTGTCTTACGGGCTCAAAATGTCTTTAAACCCTTTTAATTGTTCTTGAAACGCCCAAATTGATTTAAAAATTCTTGAGCTTAAATGTTTTTGTTCTGTTGAAGGAAAAAAAATGTGTTGCATTGTTGTTTGGGGTAATATTGTAGTTTAGGCTTGGGAAGTCTTTGGACAGTATCCCACATCAATGCAGGCTGCTTCTCTGAAGTATACCCGCTGAATCTTTTTTGCATATGTATAGGGCTTGTTTAGTTGTTCTTCCTTGGACGATGAATTCAGGGAGCCAACCCTGACACTAGCCTCCCACAGCTCGGACGACTTTTCTTGATGGAATGAGGTTGTCGATAGTGAGCCCCATATTCAGAAGGTGCTTAAGTCCCCGAGACATATGGTGGCCCCACTGTCAGGAAAGATTGTCATCCTAGTGCTGTGATTTTGGGGATATTCTTAATTTGTCTGGGATCCGGTTTTGGCGAAAATGGAACAACATATGCATCAATTTCCCTTATCTGGCCTGTGTCTTTAGACATTAACGCGCCTGTCGTTTGATTGAATGTGATGTGGGCGATAAGTGTGTCCAATTTTAGGCTTTTCCTGATGAGCTGGTTTCTTAGCCCGGCATACCCTCGATAGGTGATTGGGCTTCCCACAATTACTACATGTTTGTCCCCATGCTGGGCATTTTAGCCGGCGTGATTCAGTTCCTGAGGTGCCATGCTGGTGGCTGCCACAACCTAAAGAATTTGAATGAACCATTAACAAGTATTTATGTATAATGTTTTCTGCCTATCATAAACTAAATTGAAAATATGAAGGAAAAATTTTAAAAATTATTAACACTGAAAATTTAGTCACTATGCTATATAAGTAATTGTTCCTGAAAATATTTTGGTAAAGACTTTAAAACTTTTTAAAACTGAACTTTTTTGATTGTGAATAATTGGAATGTGCTAATATTCTTTACATGAAAAATGAATGCTTGCAGCAAAATTTTTAAAGTTTGATAAAAGTTACTCTGAGCTTGGAAATGAATTAATACAAACATTAGTTAATTTCCTGGAGTTTTGAAAGGACGCATTGTCTCTCCTTGAATTTGGAATGCCACAAATTATACTAATGTTTTTTAAAGAGTCATACACGTAAAACCTGATTAACCAATGAAAATCAAACAGCACAAAAATAAAAATACCAGAATTTCTTTCTTTTTTCTCCATATCTCATGAAGCATTAATAAAAGGGAAACATGTTAGATCGATAAACGTTTCCTATTTGTTTTTTGCCCTGTCATTCTGTTGGATTCTGATCTATATTTGTTCTGTATTTGATCCTAATTCAAACATTTACGTGTATAATTATTTAAGATTTCAATGAAATGTTTAAATAGAAAAAAAAAAGTTGCTTTTTATAAATATTACAGTAAAATTGAACTAATTTGTTTTTTGTATTTATTAATTTTTAAAAAACTTAAATATTTTAGCTTTTTTTAATTTACTTTCTATACAAAATGGTGTTTTTTTTAATGCTACTCTGTCAGTCAATTAAGTGCCATAAACGGTACATGCCAGTGCAATCCTGTCTCTTTCGATTCATGGCTGACTAGGCAGAAGATTTTTCCAAAGTAGGTTGCTGTTTCTTTTTGCAGTAGACTGGTTGCCAACCAAGGCTACAGGACCCAGTCAGACCTGCTATTCAACCCAGAGCTGGAGGGAGAAGAGATAGGTTCATACATTTCCCAAGGGTATTTGCACCTGGAATTTGAACTCTACTCTCTGATTTCTTATTCTGAGCCATTATCAATTGCACCACCTGCACATCCTTGCTACTAGCAACTATTAAAGATAACAGTTTAAAAAAAAAAAAACATTATGATTTGGAAAAGTTTAAAATAGATGGTTCTAGGATGATGGTGAAAAATAAGTCTAGAACTCTGCTAGACAGGATTACTAACATATCAAGAACTTCATTTTCAGCTCTTCTCATAAATGTGTTAATAATTTTCTAATATATTTTTTTTTCTTTTCCGAAATAATCTGAAG